GCTGCTACTTTTCTGCCAGGGTTAAATGTTTTGAGGTGGCCAGACCCAGAACATCCTTACAAAGGTGACTGTTACAGTGCTAGAGTAGACAATGCTCATTTCTCTTGTTCTTTTATGCTTTCTTCATCATTAAGCTCATTTTATGTTAAGAAAACAAGTGACATTTGAAGTCCAAAGAGGAATGATCACAGTTGTATACAGGGTGATTTCACACTTGAACTCTGATGTCAGTAGATTCTATGGGTCAGAGCTACATAGTGGTCTGTTTGGTTTGATGTTAGTTTTATTAGAGGGTGGGGGTAGTGTGTAGGGCCTAATTTCGTTCAGATATTTTTGTTCCAGAAGTATATATTTTGTCATCTTTGAGCAAGAAATGTGGGCATAGTGGCTCTTGGTTTTAAGTTTGTTGTAATTTTTTCTTCATGTTTGTTTTAAGCTCAGGTAAAGATAACCTCCACCTCCCATGACTCCATTTTCCATTCGGGATATAATCTTATTTAGTAATTGATTTTCTCTGTAAAATGGGCAATAAGTTTGATGTTTCCAGATGGTAGCATGGGGGAGGGGTATGTATGATAAAGTTTAGGAAGATCTACTCTAAAATTGTTGTAGTAGCTAAGCAGGTATAAGGTGAGGTTTAGCAACTTCCATGGAAGTGCCAGGTCGATGGTTCAAGGGAAAAATGGGCCCTTGTTCTAGTGGTTGTGAGCAGAGAAGGCTATAAATTGGTGTGCAGCTTACAACATTGCGAAGGTCGAAAATAGCTGATGTCGGTGTACTTCCTCTGTGTGATTGTTCAGATAAAACTTTTACTTTGTAGCTTTACTGTCAGCAAAATGTCCTATGGTGTGCATGTTGGGGGCTAGGCTTCCTGATCCTTCAGTTTGCTCTAATTTCTGGCAAGTCTGTAATTTGAATGGCTTTGGTAAGTGGGCAACCGTGTCGAATGGAATTTGTGAAGTGAAAGACTTGGCGGTCTCCCAGGGAACGAGGGATGGATGCAGGGCTGTGCAGCCCCTGAAGGTGCGAAGCCCCGTACGTAAGGCGGGGACAGTACAGGGCGCACAGACCTCATCAGGTGTGGTTCCTTCTGCTCAGCGTAACAGCTACCTAAAAACGAAGTGTGGTGAGAGCCCTTGTACCTTTCACTCGTATTATGGGTTTGAGTTCATGGTCACTAAGTTCACCCAACTGCCTTTGTTAAGAGTCGCTTTGCATAGAAAAAATGCATATTAGTTTCTAGTACTAATTTTTAGAAGTCCACTTGATAAGTTTGCTAGCATGTGTTCATAACCTTTGCGGGGAAGCTGGGACCGCTCGGATCTGCGGCTTAAACAGTTTAGTTGCTGCATGTGACAAGCACGCTGGGAGGTGGATGAGCATGGCATTCAGTGACAAGGAAAGATACCCAAGGGACAGCAGCAGGGAGGTCCTCAGGCTTCTGGCTGACATTTGGTGGATGGGGGCTCTCCTCCTCTCGCTGGAAGCACTGAGGACAGGGGCAGGGCTTTTGCCTTTGTAACCCTTTCCTTGTTCTTCCAGCTCTCCCTTTGGTCCATTGCGTCCTCCTAACTCCCCTCCCCACCTCCTGCCCATTGGCCCTGTGATGGAAGCAGTTACACGGAGGGTTGACACCACACACACACACAACGCATCCCACGCAGCCCTCCATTCCCAGGTCCTCTACTTCAGGGCAGGCCGTCGTCCTCCAGACTCGAATACCGAAACCTCTGTCTGTGGCAGTGATGTCGTGAGATCTTCATGAGTGGCTCCTTCTGCATCCACTGAGGGAATATTTGCCAGGTTCTGCAGACCGCTATTTAGAGAGGCAGAGTCTTCAAGGGCATTTGTTTCTACTGGTAGGTGGGACTGTGCCCAGAGTGGAAGTCAGCCTTGCTTGTGCGCCGGCGTCCTGTGTGGCAGTAGGTGAAAAGTGTCGTAGAGGTCGTTTGACACTCTTGCTGGCAGAAGTGCGCCGTTCAGCATTTGAAAACCCATTCAGGCTGCAGCTTCCTAAAAAGAATTGCTTTCTGTGTTTACGTGAAATGATAAGTTGCATTAGGGGTGGGAGCATTAGATGTTCTAGGGTTTCCGTGACAGCCTCCTTCCTGAGACGGAGAGGTCAGGGGTGAGCCGCCCGCTTGGCATGGAATCAGACGGGGTTCTCGGTCACTAAAGAAGCCATGTACTGTATAGTGTTTTTCTTGGAGTATCAACTCATGTTCTCCAGCTGCTTTTCTTTTTTAATGGTGAGGGAAAAGGTAAAATTTGGGATTCCACAGTGCCTTGCATATAGTAGGCGCCCAATAAATATTTGTTGAAGCAAACCAAGTTTCCCAAGTCCTTGTCTCTTGCAGTGACCAAGAACATCTTTCTCCTCTGAAGGGCTTGGCAGTTGTGGCTAAAAACTAAGCAGTATCATTATTTGCTTGAGATCATATATACAATTTGTATGAATTTCGGTATGTTGCCAAGACATGATCTTTTTCTTATTGTATTTTCTGTAAATATTTCTGGCAATGAACTGTAAAGTAAAGGCGAAATGTAAATAAGGCGTCCCTGTGTCCCCTCGCCTCCTGTGTTTTCTCTTGGTCGGTTGGTTAGGGAAGAAGGCCCAGAGGCTTGTTTGTATTTATGCCGACCCTCTGTCCGGAACAAACCCATGGAATATTGACTGTAATACATTTAGTCAATTAAATTTTAAGGAGATTCTTATGTACTTAATGTCATGTGTGCTTTCAGTCCCGGGCCGGGGTCTGACTCCTGCGTGGGTGTCCTGCTTCCCTCTCTCTGGGGCGTTCTGCTCTGCCTCGGCTGCCATTCACCGTGTAGATCTGCGGGCCTGCCCCTGGCTCTGTACAGTTTCACCGTGTACTCGATTTCCTGAAACTGTTCGGCCTCTGTGCTGGAAGGAGCTTGTATAGGTAAAGCACTGCCAACAGGGGCAGCGGTCGCCAAGGGAACACGGAAGCGCCAGCTGTGCTGTCTGTCCACAGGAAACCGGGCATTGCCAGGCTGGCCTGTCAGGAAGGGGGAGAAGTGCAGAGGAGGTAATACTCCCACCCCTTTAGAGCAGGGTGGGCTGCACAGGGCACCATGGGGTCACATTGGCATCTCACTGGGTAGATGACAGGGTGGGTGGTTTTACCACTTGAAGGGACAGCGATGGGTGCCTGTGCCAAGAGCCACCTCCTGCATGCAGCCTGGCACTGGGTCCACCTGAAGCTAGTGTGCAACCCCCTGAATGGCACCTGGGAGCTGCGTCCCCTGCAGTTGTGTGTCCACACCTGCTCTGCCTGCCTGCTTGCTGGCCACAGGACCTCCAACTGGGCCCTGGTGGCCAGGGACGCTTCTCCCTGCACACTGGTCCGGTTTGGGGATCTGACAAGAAAATGTGTGTTCAAGCCTTTCCCACCCATGTTGTTCCACTCTTTCTGACCCAGTACCAAGAAATCACCCCCAACCCAGACCACTAGCTCTGGCCTTGGCCTCCGGGCCTTGAATGGCACCGCCCACCCCCAGGGCACTGCCCTTCTTGGATGCACATTCCAGTACCATCTGCCCAGACCTCCTCTTCAGGGGATTCTGCTCGCCCCACAGCGGGGCTAAGGCTCCCTCTAAACACAGTCTCCAAGCCCCAGCACTCCCCTCCCTTCCCTTATCTGTGTTGTGGCTAGTCCCACCTGCCCTTCTTCTAGGCTGGTGGCTTCCTAGAAGTGAGTCCTACCCCATGTCTCCCTCCAGACCTACTGCCCAGTCGAGCACCCGCTGCCCCCGCCTGGAACTGGGTCTGCCCAACTTCCCAACCCGTGCTCCACGAAGTGTCATTGTCTCAAAATCAAGTCCGCATCAAATTGGTTGCCCGTAAATGTGTCGGGTCCTGAGCTTCACCCTGGAGATTCTGACTATAGAACAGGACTAGCGTGGAAATTGCTATGTCACCCCACCCAGCTGCTGGCAGTGACAGGCCTGCCGTCCAAGGACCCACTTGGAGAGTGCCGAGCTTCTGTCCCCTCCATGAGCAGTAGCAGAGCCTCGTGTTGGTCTCCCACACCCGTCAGACTCCAGCTGCAGGGCTGTTGGCCACTGGGAGGTGCAGAGCCTCTTTCCTGCAGTGGGGCCTGGCGTGTGGTTTACTAACTCCTTTGTGCAGGAGGGAGCGAAGGAAGGCGAGGTGGAGTGGGGGGAGGTAAGAATGGCATTTAGGAGTATTCTGCCCACTTGGGAGGTAAAGGGACAAGGTTAAAGCCTTAGAAGCCCCTGACTGAAAACCCTAATAAGGAGAGGTGCCAAAGCTTCCAGATTAAATGACAGTCATTTACTGGGGACCTACTATGTGTCAGAAAGTTTTTAAATGGGAGCCCAGTGACCCAGTCTGGCCAACCAAACTTGTTTAGCCAGTGGTATTTCAGTGTTTGATCAATATTTTTAAATTGGGAGACTTCACATAAAAAGCCCAGTGTTTTGACTCTCTTAGAAGTCAGGAGAGCTGGCCGTACTGGTCCTGCAGTTGCCACACGTGAGCTGTTGGCTGGAGTTCGGACAGCTGCCTGCTTTAGAGGCGCTGTGCTCCATCCGGTTTGCACGCTCCTTGCCACTCCCACAAAGTTAAGTGTGGGCACACGAGGCCGGAATTTCGGGACCAGGGACCTGGCTGGCTCCTGGAAGAATCTGACCTGAAATGTTGCCTGCCCGCCCTGGGGGCAGTGCTTATCCCAGCACTTCTCTAACTTAGTACGGGGTGGGGGGGTGGGGGGGGGCACTGAGAATTAGTCCTACCCCAAGAGGACAGGGAGGTGGCATATATCAACCCCACAGCAATTTAGCAGTGATTCGAACCCAGGCCTGCCTGCCTGGGGGCCTGGGCTTTGTTCCCACTGCCCCAGCTCCTGGCCATTCATCCAAAACAGCCCTCCCTTCTCCTGAAGGACACTGTGACTTCCTTGTTACGACATCACCAGCTCAGTCACAATTGGTTTGAGTGCAGAGTGTGGCCCAGCCCACCAGATCCCCAGGGCAGCCCTGCCAGCCCAGCTCAGGCTAGCCCGGCTTGGCCACTCGTGCACCATGAAGTACCCGCTGGTGCCGCTGGTGAACGACTTCACGTTTTCTTTCCTGGTGCTCTGGCTAGGCCTGCCCGTGGCCTTGCTGCTGTTCTTGTTGATCGTCTGGTTTCGCTTCTTACTTAGCCAAGGTGAGCCATCCAGTCCGGGCCCTAATCCTGGAGCTGGGCAAAGGGTCCTGAAACCTGTGCAGAGAAAGGGGCTTCCTTTGGGTATTTTCACTGCAGGCTCAGAGCTGTTAGTGGTTCTCCCTGAAAGACAAAAGGACTTACTTGGTAGTTTGGAATTTCTTAACCTAGACACCGAGTGAATCCCCGAGTGTGACTGGGAGGCACATATGTGTGCATGCCTCTGTCCCCCCAGGACCACTGCCAGTGCATAAGGTCTTTGGTGCTGGCACTGGCCCTGGAAAGTGGCCCCGCTGGGCAGATGAATCAGTAAAAGGTGCCCCTTCCTATGAACGCAGCCAGGGCACAAGGCTCAGTGAGCAGAGGATGGGCTGGGCTTCAGTCCCTCCGGGCCCCTCAGTCCGGCTTTTGTGCAGTTAACAACCTGCACAGTTTGGGTGGCAGCCCTGGGCCCTGATCAGTGCCCGGTGACTGCTCACCCTTTTCTGCCCAGAGCGCGCATACATCAGGGAGGATCTGGGGTGCTCTGCGATGCAGGATCACTGAGGCGGGCTGACATGCGCCCTGAGCTCAGCATGCTGCGGTGGAGCTGGCCATTGGGAAACTGGGGGCCAGTGGGCAGGGGTGCAGCCGTGGCCATTTGGCAGGAATGACACTCTGCTTGCTCGTCAGGTGTCCTGTCCCCTGGGCCTCTTCCTGGGGTCAGCTGGACCTCCCACCTCCTGCTCCGCAGCCCCATAAACTTTGGCAAGCTGGGCAGGCAGGGATAGGGTGTTGAAACAGGGTGAGCAGTTCGCCCCTTAACCTACCCCAAGACCTCAAATGTGGGGGCTGGCCATGGTGTCATTATTGGGAGTTCCTGGTGAGAGCTTTATTTATTATTATTTGTATAATAAATGTTTATTATATAAATAACTTTTATTTTTAAAAGATTTTATTTATATACAATTTTCGCGAGAGGGGGAGGGAAAAAGAGGGAGAGAAACATCCGTGAGAGAGAGAGCTACATCAACCATTTGCTTCTCATGTGCCCCCAACCCAGGACCTGACACACAACCCAGAAACACGCCCTGATCGGGAATCCAACTGCTGACCTTTTGGTTCACAGGCCAATCAATGCTCAGTCCACTGAGCCACACCAGCCAGAGCCTGGGGAGAGCTTTTAGAAAGCATTTAAAAATGTGATCTCCTTCCCAGGATGGACCACAGCCCCCCCTAAGGAGCACATCTTGGGTGTCAGGTCGGTGGCGGGTGCATGTCCGAGCACTTGTCTGTGTAGTGGCTATAAAAGCTGTCTGTCTCTCAGCCTGCAAGCACCTACTGTGTGCCCTGTGTGTGCTCCTCCTGTGTGGAGTCCAGGAGATGTGGGCCCAGATTGCAGCCTTGCCCTCTAATAGTTCATAATAAAAGTGAAGCTTTTTCAAATGCTATGTTGGTATTAGGACTTGTGCTTGGCACTTGATGTGTGGCACCCTCAGGATAACCCTGTGAAGTAATCCTCACTGTGCCGTTGAGGAAACTGAGGCTTGGGGAGGAGAAGAAACCTGCCCAGGGTCACACACTGTAGAATACTTGAGACTGCCGATTGGTGTCGAATCCTGGCCCTGGCACCTACCAGCTGTGCGACTCTGGACAAGTGCCCCCGAGCCTTAGTTTTCTCATCTACAAAATGGAGATGATAATGGCCCCTGCCCTTTTAGAGAGATACACATGAAGGACAGAGCACACAGTATGGGTACACACGTGGCACGCAGTAGGTGCTTGCAGCCTGAGAGATAACCTAGTCAGTATTGGTTTTGTCCAGGTAGGAGGACGCACAGCAGCGGCTTTGGATGGCTTGTCTGGAAGGGGAGGGGACACCTTCCCTAAGGTCAGAGGCTCTAATCTCTTCTGGCCATTCATTCTCCTGGGAGGCCTGCCCTGCCCTACCCCACACACACTTTCTCCCAGGAAGCTGTTGACCCACTGACATCTCACGTGGCACTAAGAGAGAAGTGCTTTTGTTAATTTTTCGATGAACAGAAGCCGTCCCTGAAGTGATTGAGTGTCTCCACTTTGGTGTCCCGGTCTTCTTGGAACTCAGTGTTATTGCATCTGTTCTGTCTTTGTGCTGGGAACTGGCCCAGATCCAGGGTCTGGGCCTGCCAGGGTTTGGGGGACTGGAGCTTGCCACACCCTTTTTATTGGAGTCAGTTTGCCCTGGAATCCAGTGAAAAGCCGACAAGAGTAGCCCTGAGTCTGATTCCCGCTCCCGTGCCCGCCTGCCTGGCCTGGGTCCACAGGGCAGTTTCCGGGCCCAGGGGGCAGAGGGTGAGCAGCTGCCTCGTGGCCAAAGAGGAGGCGGTTTCCCAGGTTGAGGGAGGAGAAAGTGGGTGGAGAGGGAAGCTCCCTGGTGAGCCCCGCGGAAGCTGACCATGAGGACAGCATTAATCCCCTGCCGTGATATAGGGAGAGGGGACGAAGCCAGAAGTGCCCTTCAAGGGCAAAATGCTCTGCGGAGGCCAATTCCTTTGTGATTCGAAGGGAATTTGCAGAAAGAAGAAGGAAACTCCAAAGAAGAGGAGTTAGGGCTGAAACAGAAGTGGGCACCAGGGCTATTCCTGCTCAGGGTCCTGACCGCCCCGCATGTTGGTCCACGGAGCGAGTTGTTAATTCCGAAGCTCCCTTTGAAGTCCCAGATCAAACAGGCACCCAATGGGCCTGCATGGGACTGTGGAGGGGGAGGCGGATTTGAGTCCAGCACGAGCACGTCCCGGCTCTGAGTGGACATCATGTTTCTGAGCCTCCCTCACTGTAGAATATGAGTAACATTGGTAACTGCCCCAGGAAGTTAAGAGGATTAAATGAGAGCATACGTGTAAGACCTATAGCCCGTAGTATGTGTTCAGAAAACAATCACCAGGGCTAGTGAAGAAGAGTCACTTTGAGCCATTGTACTAATCTTTTAACTCCTGACTGTCAGCCTTGTCGAATGCCCATTTTACATGTCTTATTCCAGTTAACCCCCATTACAGAAGAGGCTATTGTTGTGCCCATGTTACAGATGAGGTCACTGAGGCTTGGTCTTTCCTATCTTTGGCTCTTGGTCTGCAATCTGAGGGCTTTCTCCAGCCTCCTTTACTTCTTGCAGCCAGCAACATAAAAGTGTTTGTAGTAAGAAGAAACCTCCCCTGTCCCCTCCCCTTTCTCACCCTGGTTCCCAAGGTGACCTGTGTTAGCGAGCTTATGCACCTAATTAATGACACCTGTACCGCTTCCAAAAAAAATGGAGTGTTCTTTGTTTCCGTATTTTAAAAAAGAGATTCTTCCATATACATTTCTGGGCAGCTTGCTTGTAACACGTCACAGACATCTGCAAGTGGAAAGGTCCGGTACAGAGCCACGTGGTCATTTTACCTGACCCTCCATTGGATGGGTGGCCCGGTCTCCGTGCGGTGTGAGTGTCCACCTCAGTCCACCAGAACCCTCGCTGATGGGCGTGCACGCGTGTGGTTTCTAGGGGGTTTTATTGTTGTGTGTGTGTTACCACGAAACAGTGGGGCAGTGGAAAGCATTGTGCACACACACTCAGACCCTCGTTCATGAATGGACTGCTGGACGAACGGAAGGCTGGGCTTGTGTCTCCTCCGTGCCTGCTCCTGGACCGTGCCCAGTACAGGCAGGTCGTTTGCTCACCTCTAGGGTCCTTCCTGGTTTGGTGGGTGAACGTGGCCATTTTCTCAGTTAGGGAACCACCCTTTTTGGTCCCTGATGACTTTTCAAGGCCTGAAGTCTTCCTGAGCACTCAGGGCTGTCCCAAATGCAGCCACTTGTCCTTGGCCCCGCCCTCAGGCAAGGCTGCAGGCATGGCCAGGCCGGGCAGGGGGCTCCTTTTGGATAAGGGGTAGGAGACAGGATGTGACCATCCAAGAGGCCTTGTCTATCTCTCCACAGATTCCGAGGAAAATGACCCAGATTTATGGTTTGATTGGGATCCCTGGAGCAAAGGCCCAGCCAAGTCTCGCTGGCACGAGACACTCCATAGCCAAGAGGAAGAGGGGCCTGGCCAGTGAGCCTGCTCTGCCAGGTGAGGCCCTTTCAGGGAGGTGGGGCTGGGGGCAAGGGGAGCCTCAGAGCCTGCCCACAGCCTTGGACGCTGCCATGGGGGAGCTGTCTCCCTCCACCATTGGCAAGCTCACCATCTTGGCCATGCCAGGGAGCATTCCGCCTCATGGCGTCGGAGTCCTGTCCTTGCCCTGTCGCAGGACTAGCCACCTCTGTCATGAGCAACTTCCTTACAAAGGTCCCCCTGTCCTTACTTCTTGGCCTCACCTCCCACAACTCTCTCTGGGGACTGCTCCCTGGCCTGGCCATTCCCTCTTCCTGGGACCCTTCTGTCTAGACCAGGAGTGTCAAACTCATTTTCACCAGGGGCCACATCAGCCTCGTGGTTGCCTTCAAAGGGTCAAATGTAATTCTAGGACTGTATAAACGTAACTACTCCTTAACTAGGGGCAAGGAGCTCAGTGCTGCCGCCAGGTAGAAACAAGGTGCCAGGCCGGACTCGGCCCGCGGGCCTTGGGTTTGCCACCTGTGCTCTAAACGCCCACTGGGTGGGCTCCCTCACCTCTGAGGTTTTTCTCAACTTCTCTTTTTCAGCAGGGCCCCTGACCACACACTTTATTATTGGCATCTCTCCCCAGCTTCATGCACCGCCCCTACCCTTTCTCTTTTGCCACAGTGGGAGCTCAGTAGATATTTGTGGAAAGAATGAAATAATACGATAATAACATTAACAGCTGATACTCACTGGGAGCTTCACAGATACCAGGGCCGGTGCTGAGCATTTCCCTTCCATGAGCTCATTTTTGAAAGCCTGCAAAGAGGACGTTATTCTTATCTCTGTTTTACAAAGGAGGGCCCAGGGGGCAGCGCAGTAAGGGGTGTGCCCAGCATAACGGGCCCTGCAGCCACTGTGCACCTGGGGGCCTCGGCCACTTCAAGGGGGCTCAGTGCCATCCCTGCGCCAGTGACCCCCACGTGTGTCTGTCCTGCTCCAATCTCTTTTCGGGGCCTGATAGCCCTTTGTGGCCAGACCAGGATATTTTTTATTCCCTTTGCTAACCCCAGCCTAGCAAAACACAACATGTGCTCTGCCAACCTCTTTCCACCTGCACGAACAGCACGGCCATCGGTGAGTCTAGCTGCCCGAGCCACAGCCCTGGGAGTCAGCCTCATGCCTGCCTTCTCCTCCCACCCCACGTCCAGTCCCGGCCTGAATGCTCTGCTTGGTTCTTGCTGTCTTGAACTTTTAAATAAGTTTTAACAGGGGCCTGCACGTTCATTTTTAATGGGCCCCACGAAGTTTGTAGCCCTTCCTGTCCGTGAACAGTTAGTGGGGCAGGAAAGGGAGACATTCAAACTCTGCCCGGGGGCCTGTCCCCTTTATATAGAGCCCTTCCCACGGTGTGTCTGTCCCTCTCTTACTCTCATGCTCTTGGGTCCCGAGACCCAGCCTGCCATTGTTCCCAGCTTGGTTTTCCTGGAGTCAGCTGCAGGGTGGCAACGGCCGAAGTGGATGGGAGAGACTCGCCGGGGAGGGAAGAGGACTTTGGCGAGTGAGGGGCTTCCCTGAGCCACCTGCCCCATTGTTAGGCAACAATGGACACACAGCCCCCGGAGGACCCCCCGGAGGACCCCCCGAGGACCCCCCGAGGACCCCCCGGACACCCAGAGAGCAGCCCGAGTCTGTGCGGACGGTGTGGACAGGCACACGGGGAGGAGTTGGCCAGACGAAGTGGGAGGGGTCCCAGGGCCGGGCTGCACCGGGTGCATGGATCTGTATTAAAGAACACGGGGGCGTCCAGAGCTCAGGGGACCCCTGAGAACATGCTGGGCCTGACCACGTCCACTCATTCAACAAGCTGTGGGGCCTGGGCCCGACCCCGGCTCCGACCTGAGCCATCCTTTCCCCATTTGGGCACCCCTGGCCCTCCTTCCCCTCCGTGCAAAGGGCCGGGGGACTTCCCTCCGAACCTCCATTTTCTCACTTCGAGCTCACTCCTCGGTCCGCCTTCCAGTTGTTTTTACTACCATGGACTTTATAAATATCTACAGAGTGTCTACCACAGGCCTAGTTATTTTAAGGGTCGTTCACATTCAATGAGCGCTTACTATGTCCCAGGTGCTTTTCTGTGATTATATGTATTATTGTTTTTTAACCTTCGAAGGTTATTAGGTAGGTTATTCCTGTTTTACAGGTGGGGAAACTGAGGCGCAGAGCAGTCAAGTAACTTGTTGAATCACAGTGATGGAGCCGGCACTGGAACCTAAGCCCTGTGACTCCAGAGCCCAACCCTGACCCACTGGGCCCACTGATTTCCAGACTGGCCTGTTGCAGGAGCTGTGGGGGGGGGGGGGCACTCTGAAGAAACCCCAGCCGGGCCTTGCACCCCCACTGGCCACCCCAGAGGCAGCGGGGTTGACGGGGACCAGCCCTCCCGGGAATCACCAGGGGTCACCTTCACTCCCTGCTTCTCTCCCACTACACAACCCACCAGCCGCCACAGGCCTTTCAGTTGTCCGAAGGAGACAGAACGGAGCCTGAATTATTCGCTGGTCTCCCAGACTTTGGTCTCCCTGCTCGGCCCTGCTGGTAAGAATGGTCCATCCAAAGCACGGATCAGAACCTGTCATCTCGCAGCTCTGGCTCCCGGCGAACGCCCGAGTTCCTCCAGGGGGGAGAGCGCCACCCTTTGGCACCTGAGCCCGGCGGAAGTTGCGGGGTGAGGTTTCTGTTCTTACCAGCAAGGCTGCAGGAAACACCTTGACCTTCTGTCTGTGCACACACTGTCTCCGGGACAAACTGTGAAAGGAGAAAGTGTCAAGGGTGAGCCCTGTGCATTGCTGGTTTGCAGACACTGCGGGGTTCTCTCACCAAAAGGCGGCCCCGGGAGTGCACCTACAGGGCCCATTTCTCCCGGCCTTTGCCCCACTGTGCACCCCCAACACACACACAACACACACGCCCGGGCTCTGCCCGTGCCTTGTGCTGGCTCATGAGCATGTGTCAACGCTGTGTTTTCCTGGGAGCTTTCCGGGCGTTGAATAAACACTGTTGGTAACAAACCTCCCCAGGGACTGAAGTTTCACCCTGGCTCTGTCTGGCACTTTCTTCTCCAGCCACCCTGCCCCCCAGTGCTGTCGGCCATTGTTTGGCCTCGGGTGCTGACCTAGAAAACTGAGATGAGTCGCCTCCCCCACACCACCCCTTGCCCCCAGCCACCCTGGAGGAGGCAGTGAAGCCTGGGGGTGGACAGGGCTCAGACCCTGAGGGACACGTTGGCACAGCCAGGCTCTGCAGGAGGGCGCCTGGTCGCAGTCCCAGGAGCCCCCACAGCGGAAGTCAGGGGAGACAGCCTCTGGAGGGTGGCCCTGGCAGGTGAGGAGTAGCGCTGGGTGGCAGTGGTGGGGGCCGGAGGAGATGCCCACCTGCTTGAGGGACGGGCTGAGACCCTGGGCCTCCAAGGGTGTGGATTGGGGCTGCCCTCCTGGCATGTCGTCCTATTAGCCAGGAGACGTGTGTGTGTGTGTCTGTGTGTGTGTATGTGTGTCTGGTAAACACACTTAGTGACCTTCTAGTGACAGCCTCCCCAAGAGACATCATCCCCACCCCACCCCTTCAGCAGCCACACTGAGTGCCTGCCCCTGTGCTAAGTGCTTCTCCCATGTTATCTTTGCTCTTCACAACGACCTCGTGAGGGGAGTCACAGTTCCATTTTCAGATGGGGAAACTTAGGGGCATAGAGGTTAAGTAACTGGCCCAGAGTCACACAGCCTGGAAGTGGCCTGTTTTTCTGACTCTTACTTGAACTGTGTTTCTCAAGACCCACAAAATACCCTGGGCTCTTCCTGGACCGGCTGTGCCGTCCATGTTTGCAGTAAACACGGTCGATTCAGAACAGTAAGCGCACATGTCTCCCCAGCCCCAGGGAGTCAGGGATCTGGGAGGACAGTCACCGGGGCAGGCGGGGACACTGCTGGGGCCGCCAGAGACACAGTGTCCATTTGATGGTCTCTGGGGCCCTTTTCAGGTCACATCTCTCAGGCCCGCCCTTACTTTCCACCCTGGAACCCAAAATGCAAGCCCCTCACCACCCCCCACCCCCGCCATCCTGTCAAGCCTCGGTGTCACCCTGAGCAAAATGGAACTCATCTCTGCGTTTGCTTCCTGTGGCTGTCACACGCAAACAGACTGGGCAGCTTGGAACAGAAACCTCGTGTCTCCGATTCAAGAAGCTAGAAGTCCAGCATCAAGGCACAGGCAGGGCCAGGCTCCCTCTGAACCTGTTGGGGAGGAAACCATCCTTGTCTCATCCAGGTCCTGCCCTTCCTTGACTGTGGCCACATCACTCCCATTTCGGGCTCCATCTTCATGGGTTTTTCTGGGTGTCACGTCACCGTCCCTCGGCACATGCGTGTGTCCAAGTCCCCTTCGTATCAGGACCAGTCACTGGGTTAGGGCCCACCTGGGGAGCTGCGTTTTAACTTGATGACCACTGTTGAGACCCTAATTCCAAACGTCACATTCGGGTGGGACTTCCAGGTATGGTCCTGGCAAGACACGGTTTACCCCAGCACCTTCTGTGTGAGGCCCGAGTGTGATAACGCACGTAAATCTCTGAGCACAGTGCTTGCTGGTGCTTCACGGTACACTGTTGCTAAAAGGAAATATTTGAGCAACTTACTGGGCTTGGTGCGCCTTGTGTGCCAGACACGGTTTGGGTGCTTGGCATGTATTATCCCACCGAATCCTCACAGCCACCCCGCAGGTAGGTGAGGTTTGCGGAGAGGTTAAGGCACTGAAGTCACACTTCCTCAGTGGCAGAGCTGAGGGTGAACCCCAGGCCTGTGGGTGACCACTACATCACACGGGGTAGGGCATCGCCACAGTGGGGAGCGGGGGCGGCTCAGAAGAGAGGGGAGGGGCAGAAAGGCAGGGAGGAAACGCTGAGCCCACAGCACGTGACCCTGAGGAGCTTCCTGGGTCTGGGGCTTGGAATGCTCTTGACGGGAGTGAGTGGGTGGGCTGGGTCGCAGGTCGCCTGGCGAGGCACCGGCAGCCTGCCAGGGTGCAGGGCCGCCAGGTCTGAGTCACTCGCTGTGACCTAACCGGCCCGGCCGATACTCCAAGGCTGGGACCTGGCCAGGAATGTTGCCCAGAGCATGGACACACTTCACTTCACTCTCAGCACACAAGGCTCTCCAGGAAGCCGAGACGGGTGCTTCCTGAAAGAAGCTTGAAAGTGCAGTTCCTTCAAGATTCAGGCTACTCTCGCTTCCTCTTGCTTTCTTCCCAAGGGTTCCCTGCACATAAGGGAAGTGGTAAGTTTTCTGTTCTGCACTAGAAATTCACTTACTCAAGCACTAACTTACTAATTTACTCAAGCATCTATTTATCATTCATTCATTTACTCATGGCTCACCGATGCCTTCCTTCCTTCATTCCTCCACTCACTCGCTGACTCAGTTACTCATGCTCACACATTCGTGTACACAGGCACTTCCTCCTCCACCTGTCAATCATCCATCCATCCATCCATCCATTCAACCTTCACTAAACACCTACCATGTTTTCCACGCAAAGCTCCTCGTGCCTCCCAAAGCACTTTTTGACCCACATCTACTGCTACTTTGACTCACGCACAAGGAGGGAGGGAGGGCCATTGCACCGGGGCCCCCAGGTGCTTGGCCTGCGGGCGGTGCAGTTCCGGAGTCTCGGGACCAGGCCCGGGAGACGTGAGCAGTCAGTCACCTCCGCAGCCCTGGTCTGCACGTGAGAGCCAGTGATGGCTGCGTGAGACTCGGGGCTCCCGAGGGCCTTTGTTCTGGGGGCTCCTCCCATATTTTCATGCCAAGGGTCTATCTCAGGGCCTACCCCTGAGCACTGTGGGGCAATTTTCAGTTATAAGTTTCCATTTCTTGCTTCCTCTAGGCCGGAGCAGACCACAGTGACCCATGGACTTGGGCCCCTCCTCTAGGAGCACCCTGGGGCCACTCTTCTCTGTGTGAGGGCAAATGCACTGCCTGGGAGGGTCACTGACTCCCAGAGCCTGAGATGAGGACAGGGTGGGCTGGAGCAACCTGGTGGGTCGGGGAACCACAGCTTTCTGTCCCGGCCAGAGAGTAAGGGGAGAGTGGAGCACAAGCCAGGGCAGCCGGGACGAATGCCCCTTCCTCTCCCGGCCACTGTACACCCCAGGCTGAAAGTCAGTTCCCAGGGAGACACTACCAGACCCCACATCCGGCCACTTCCGCTTCCTGCTCCCTTAGTGTCCTTCCTCCCCCCCCCCCAGCCACACCCTGCCTGTTCACACCCTCGGCACACTCCTGTTGGCTTGCTTTTCTCTTTCCTGGCATTTCCCAGAAGAGACCAGGGCTCAGGGAAGGTGAAAGGCCTGCTCACAGGCACAGAGGGCGTGGCCGAGACGGGCAAAGACCCTGGGCCACGGATGCTTTTCTCCGTCCCCATTAGCCAGGTACTTTCTTAATACTGTTTAATTTACAGTCGAATGGCTCTAAGTAATAATAATGGCAAGACGAATTATATTTTCATGACTGTTTTTCAAAGGTGCCCTTTTCACTTTACCTTCACAGTGTAGGCAGGTGGGCAGGGCTCAGGGGTGTGTGTGTCTGCCTGTAGGTGGCCCTGGCCGAGCCAGCCCCGCCTGGGAGGAGGTTGGACATCTGTCCTGGTGAGGGGGTGTCTGGGAACTGGGTGTGCAGGCTTCCTCCTGCTTGAACTGCCGAATTGCTGACTGAGTCAGCCCCACGGCGGCAGCAGCCACGGCAGCAGCAGCAGCAGCAGCAGCAGTATCAGCGCCGAAACTCACCTGTGAGCTCATGGCGGAGCCTGCCCTTCTCCCCACCACCCAGATGGAGAGGCTGGCCCCCGTGTCCCTGGCCTCACCGTGTCCCCGGATCCCACGGGCCCGCATCGCCAGGTGGCCGGGACGCTGTGCCCAGCGCTGGGCTGACCTGGGCTGCAGGTACGGGAATCTCGGGAGGAGGTGGGGGAGGTTTGGGTCATGGGTGCCTCAGGGCCAAGGCTGAGGAAGGAGGGGACCATGTAGAAGACCTACTATGTACTGGCCGTGTATGTCATCTCAGTTCTCACATCATCTCTCTGAAGCAAAAATTCCCCTCCCATCCTACAGAGGAGCAAACGGCAGCTCTGAGAGGTCAAGTAAAGGGCCCCCGTGGTGTGGGTGTGTGTTAAACCTTGGCCCGGGGGAGCCCCAAACCCTGACTCTTTCTGGGACTCAGCCCAGCTCTGGGCTCCTGCCGCTGGCCTACAGGGTCACTGGCTTTTGGATTCTTAGAGATGGGAGTGATTCACAGTATGTGCTGTTTTCCCTTCTTCTGGATGTAGAGGGTGTTAGGGACCACAAGGCTTATTTGGGGCTCAGGATCCAGGACCTGAAGCTGTGAAACCTCGGCCGGATTAGTGTGGCTATGTGATCACTGGGCCTGACAACCGGGTCACTCCTCCGTCCTGCTCAGGTGGCTCTGACAGCCAGACCAGAGTTTTTAAAAAGTCATTTCTCCCCGTGTATCATTATGTTATAGCACATTACCATTGGATTGTTATAGGAATTCAAACAGAAGAATGTGTGAGCCTCCTCCCAGAACTTCCTGCTGTTAAAGTTTTGGCATGCACCTGGGGAGAATTTTTTGATGTATATGAAGCTATATATGTGTGGTCCTACACAAATAAGATCATGCTACAATGTGTACCTGGGTTTCCTTCAACCCCTTAATGAAGACTGTGGGCAACGCAATGAGTTTGGTTGCTTCAAACAAAACAAAACACACAGAAATAACACTCCGACTTCCAGAACAGTAGTTTTCCAAACTCCCGAGTTCTGTAAATCTTGTGTTTGAATCCAACCTTTATTATGTTCTTGAGTATTTATATTCAAAGTATTTATACTGGCATCTTTCTATTACACGTCAGTGATATAAAGACCTAACTCATTCATTTTAATGGCCTCCAAGAACCCAACTCTGTGGCTGTTCTTTGGTTAATTTTGATCAGTCGCTGGCTAATGAACTTTTAGATTGGTTCT